AGGACTTTGCAAAAATAAGTTGTCCTGCTTCAAACCAGCAACATCTTAACCCCAATAAAATACATAAAATTAAAGCCACAGAAGACGAAGACCATCTGCAGAACATGAGAGACAGATTTTTTTTCATCCTCATTTGATCCTCCCTCTCCTATAAGAATTAAAATCATTCTAAACAACATAAATAACAACTACAAACATGGCTCTTGCAGACATACTCTTCATAAGCACAAGAACTAGAACAGGGACGTACTGTTTGCAGAAGCGCTGAATGCAAGCAGGCACCTACCCCTCACACAAGAGAACAGAAATTGAAAATCCAGAGAAAATCCAGCCAGGGTATCTCTTAAATCTTTTCTAGAAACAAAGTGCAAGCATCCATATGCTTCTCCTGCTTGAGCAGATGCTTAAGTCACATGCACGCTGTTCTCCCATGCTCTCAGTTAATGAGCTACATTGCCCCAAAGTATCCAAAGGACACCCAAAGAAAACATTTCTCTGTGCCCTGCATGCTAAAATTCTAAAATCTAAAAAACAGACCTAGCCTTTTATTCTCAAAAAAGTATATTATTCATGACCACCACCATCCAGGCATAGCAAGGCAGACCAGAAAGCAACCAGGGATCACTAAAGCCGCCCCTGTGATTTGCAGTGAGATCAAACACCCCCTTGCTGCCCGTGACTGATGTCTGCCCGCCCAGCTCTGAAAAGCTGTTGGCAGGGAAGCCTGTTCCAGGGCTAACCTGTCCTCACAGGGAGCAAGCTTTCCCAGCTCAGCTTCCCTTTGTGCCAACTAAGCTGATTATGTTTCATTTTATCCCTACACAGCACACAATGATAACTGATCACTGCCCTCTTTATCGGTACTGATTGAACGCTTGCGGTTGAAGGCTTCGACTTTCAATCAGCGCAAGATTCCTAAACCTTTGATTCCCTTCTTCCCTAGGTCCCCCCTCCCAGGGAGCGAGGTGCCCGAGCTGCTCGGGGGGATCTGACTTTCTCGCCTAAACGCAGTAAATACCTTTTTGCCAGACACTTGGCCTTCCCATTCGAAAGGCTGCAAATGACATTTGCCCCTTTTTTTTTGCAAGAGGATGAAGGTAATAAATTCCACTCTATTTGCAGCCCACTGCAACTCTAGATTCTGCTTTTACAGTATTGTCACCTTAGCTTGCTATTCACCATCTGTATACATAAACCTGATTTTTTCTTTCTCAAATGTAATTTGCACCTGTCTTTTAATGTATCACATCTTATTGATTTCAGGCTATTCTTTCAATCTACCAGGATCATTTGGAATTCTAATCCTAATTGAAATTACATTGACTGGTACATATTCTCCTAGTTTATCCCCTTTTTAAAGGCAGATACCAAATCTGCCCTTTACTGATCCCTTGAGACTTCATTCTCCCTCTAGGAGTTCTCAAACAAGCTTATTAATGGCTTGGAGATTGTTTTTCTTGGCTCTTGTGCACTTTAGAATAAATTTCATCAGGTCTCTCCTGTCTTTAGTGCATCTCACTTACACTAGGATTCTCTGCCATGTTCTTTCCTTGCCACCTCGTGCTGAATACTAGTAATTTTATATATATGGACAAAGTTATTATTTGAAAATATCAAAGAAAATACAGAAAAGTATTTCTGCACTCTGCTCCCCTTCCATTATTTTCTCATCCATGTTCCTTGTCAGAAAACATATCAATGCTTTCTTCCACCTATCTCTTATGTTCAGCTTATGTATGAACCCTCCTGCCAGTTTGCCTGTCTTTTGCGTAGTGCAAATTACTGTGCACTGTGCTCCTTCTGGCTTCACTCTTACACTGTATGCTGCATTCTTTCAGGCTCACCCTTGGCCATGTATTTTTTTTTCTTTCCTTTTTAAAATTTTGTTCACTAAAGACTCCCTCACATAGATATGCAGTTAGTTGGTGTGCTTGCTCTTTTCTACACCAAAAGAAGATCTGTACCTTAGCGCTGTACCTTGAACACGATTTCTTCTGGGGGATGCCCAAGATCATTTGCTGCTTTCTTCCCTTACAAAGTTCTTCCCGCAAAAGAAGGTGGCTAGCCTCCTTTTCTCAAAAGTGGCATCACGGTTGCTTTCTGATTACGTTTGCCTGTACCACCTTCCACTTACAGATTACTAGCTTGTTCCATCAGCCTGCTTATGTGTATGCAAGAGAATGCTATAACATGCTCCTCAGCTCCTCACATTTAATGATGCAGGCTTAACGCTTTCCGGGCAGCTGCCTTGCAACTGTGAACTACCTCCTTCCCACCATCACACACTTTTCCCACATCCCCTTTGCTTACACGGATCCCCTTCCCTCATCCACACAGACAAAATCCTTCTACTCACATAACCTTGCATTATAGTTATTGAGGAGTTTCTTTAGAAAAGCACCTATGCAGGAAGGGAGCCTTCCCTTACTTTGCAGGTCTTGGGCATCCTACTGCGCTTGTGACAGAGGTCTTCCCCTTCTCATCCTGAACAGTTTGAAGATCTTCCCTGAGCTCAGACTTTCTAAAATCACTGTGGTCTGTTGCACTGACTCATTTAATTAAATGGATAATTCCAGTTCCTGCTGTGGAAGATTGATGCTACTTATTGACTTACTTTATTGACAATAAAAATTCACAGGGCCAGGATTTGGAAAAGAAGCAAAAGCACCAAATTGTTTTCTAGTATCCATGTCCTGCTGTGTTCTGGAGTCAGCAAAACTGGGTACCACTTACAGGTGGGTTTGTAGCATAGTTCATTCCTCATTCTGGTCTTGAGCCACCCAGCTGGGGCAGTCTGGAATGACTAAAAGGGGGCCCTCCTGCAGGCCACGGGAAGACTGACTGGACTGGATTAAGGGACCAGGGCATCAAAGGAACATTTAAGCAAAGCAGTGCCATGGTACAGGGTGCTGACAGCTTCCTGGAGCCTTTACAGAACTGTCAAAAAGTCAGCAGCAGTCTAGCTGCAGCAGTGTAGCATAGCCTGGATTTCTAGCTAGTTTTCATCTCCCTTATTATAGTGTGTCTCCCCACTCTTTAAGCACTTGTTTTCTTAAAACTTCAGAAGGGGCAAGCTCACTTCCACAGATAGTGGCAATTCTAGGGATTAAGCTATAATGGCCCCAGGGTGGAAACAGGCTTCCCCACAGGTATCACACCCCGCTGTGCCTGGTTGCTCTTCTGAGCTTCAGCACACGCATGATCTGGGCGCTCCCCTGTTAACCAAAGCAACAACTTCTTCAGCCAAGAGCTGAACAGGTCACTCTTATATGAGTCTGCGGAAGTTTTCTCATATGTCTTGGTCCAGATCTTGCAAAATTTTGAGTTTCCAGCAGATTCTGCTGTCTTGGCTGCTATCTGCAGTCAGGGGCTTGACGCTACTGACACGCTCTCATTATTTTCTCTTCCTGGCAGTAGGGCTTTTTCCTGTCTTTATCGTGTGGGACTACCTGCTCCTAGATCACGTCGTCCTTGAGCAGAAGCAACTGCACAGTTCTGCTTTAATTCACAGCCAAGTCCACCGGCAAGAAAGGCCATTTGCATTTCGGGCGGCTGTTTTTTGCGAAGTTCACCTTCACTCTCGGGGCTTCCTGTTCTTATTTATGCTGAGCTCCTGCACAGCTAAGCGCTCCACTCCAGGCTTGCACTCGTGTCACAGTCTCCTTGGGTAGAAGGTCAACAGTCTGAGCTTGGTCTTGCCGTAGATTATCTTTCCTGGAGGGCTCCAGCTGCTCCACAGTCTCTGGATTCACTGGTGGGAATCCAAAGAAACACCTCATCCAAAGAGCTATCCCAGATTGCAACACACGGATTTTGTTGTTTTTAATTTGCTTGGCTGAGCACTTGTCACTTGTACTTAACAGGTTGCACATACGCTATTGTGGGAGGTGAACTGGAGGTTACTTACCCATGTAATTAATTTGCTTACTGGACATAATGTACTGATACTAAATTTTCCTAATAAGGCACACGGATGTAAGAACAGACCATAGTGAATCAGTACAGCTCCGTGGTTCAGCATAAATGTCCTTACCTAAGGACATCATCTAAACTCTTAGTTTGTACATAGGCAGGAAAAAATAGATTTCTCTCATCACTTTTTTTCACAGGGAATACATTTCAAACTATTCAGTTATCCTAGACTTTGGTCAGATCTTATTTATGAAAATACTGAAAAAGGCAAACATTCACTAGTTTCATTCAGATGAAATTCCTATTAAAATATATTATTATGCTGGAGGCTTATATATTTCTCAAAATAAATAAATTCAATAGGACTCAGAAGTAGACATGGGCACAGGTTGGCAAACTATTATTGGGCCTACATTTCCCGAACATCACATCCTTTTATTGATATATGTCAAAAGCACTGGCAAAGGATTTAAATATAAGTGCTCTGAACCAAAAGCAGTTTTGCCCTTATCTTTAATGGAATAAGAGTGGCCCCATAGTTGTGCCAGTGTATTGCTTTTCAAAATCCTGCATACTCAGTAATACTTTGCTCTCAATTTCTACTCAGGAGCAATACTACATGATCAAGTAACACTCATTCTCATTCAGCTCCAAAAAAGTTTGTATAGTATTGCCTCTTTATATTGCCTAGAAGACACTTACCTCAGATAAATGACCCTCTGCTCCAAATGAAATATCTTCCAAAACCTATTAGAGAGATGTTATTAAGTATATGGCACATATATGTTGTATGAACATTAAGATTTCAATGGATCATATAAAATCACTATAGCATATTAAAAATATATAAGATGAACAATTAAATCATTTTGCTACACAATGAAACAACATTCCAATGGCCTTTAAAATGGAGCCGTAGCAGCCACACAATGTTAGAGCTAAATTTGATTGCATTTTATTTTTGGTTTCCTTGTCAAAGGAATAATCTCCGTCTCTCAAAAACTGAAAAATCTACTGTGTGTTGAGACAAACTTTTCTACAAAGCTCTTAATCATCTATATTACCTCCAACAGTCTACAGGTTCTTTCTGACACAAATTCTGTAAGTGATTGGGGAAGAACAACTGAAATATCCCACTGATGTTTTGTATGAGTAACATGATAACTACACGTAGATCCTCTCTCAAAACTTGCTTCAGCTCTACAGTTTACAAGAAATTATCTAACAATTCACTGACTGGCTGACGAGCCACCAAAGAAATTTGATGTTAGCATTAGTGGAAAATTATTAGTATTCATCGCACATATAACGATACAGACAATCTTTTAAAAATGTAGCTAGAGATATTGCCTTGATAGGTCAATATTTAGTGTCTTAAGTTTGTGTATATATAAAGTGTAAAATCAGTACTCTGTCCTAAGATCATTATTACTGAATAGTTCAGTAATCTACCTGGAAAGAGTAGTAGTAGTTCTTCACTCTTGGTTTGGTTTCTTTAACCTATAATATTCAAAGAACTAGTAAGGATTAAATTTACTGAGGTACTAAGATCTCTATCTAAAGAGTTAGCATGTTTACTAAGAGATGTAACTAAGAGGCTTCTTACCGCACACCAGTTAAGTGTGACTGTACAGCAATGATCTGACTGTTATATACAAGCCAGCTGCCTGTTGTCACAAGAACCCTTTGCCTCTTGCAATAAGAATACAGAAAGCAGTCCGTAACACTTCTGTAACACTTAATGCCGACATTTAAGATGAAGATTAAATGTAAAGTTTCAAAATTATTTTTGAAGCTCTACAAACACAACATTTAACTAAACCTCAAATGACAGCACAGTTTATTTAGCTTCCTAAAGGCTTCGTCCTTTACACGATGCACATTTGCCTGCTGGATCACAAGCTATTTCAATGCACGGTAATAAGTTAAAGGCTGCTGACAGAGGCGTTCTTGTTGCCTGCTGTCTCTAAATTCTGAAAAAAAGTTGTGTCACAGCCTGTGATGACTGCTTTTCAATGACTGACATCACATGCAAAATTGCTTATTGTTATTCTTTCTCCTTCTAAATCACTTAGAACATTTAAGACCTTAAACGTGATGACTCAAGTTAAAGCTTTGCAGATATAGATCACCTTCCCACCACCAAAGTGCTTTACATCCCAAACATCTTCCCCAGCTGGTAAAACTGAAGGATGCAGAGGTTGTGAAAAAACCCAGCAGCCCTTATGCTAACCCCTTCTCTCTGCTTCAGCTACACTGAAGGAACAAGAAATAACCTACAAATAATTCTCACGCGACATCTACCAAAAATGCTGACTTACAAAAGGTTACACTAGAGAATTTTGTTTTTTACCTGGTAACTTTAATCACCTCAATTTTCTTGAAATCTAGTAGGTGTTTCTTTCCTTCATAGGGTTTAAGAGGGAACACTGCACAGCATGCCAGACAGCAGAGGAAGGAGAAAAAAGGATAGGTCAGGAACTCAAGCTGCAGGTGCACACAGACACATGTTCATAGAGATACTTGGTGTTAGGGAGGTCCCAGCACACGCGCATCTCCATGTTTATTAGTCATCATTGCTGCTTCCAGTGTTATAAAAAGCTTTTGCTTACACATATACTACCAATAAGCAAAAAATAAAGCAAGATCCCACAAGCAGAAGTGGAACAAGCAGGCGTTAATGTCTGAAGAGAAACGAAATGTTACCGTATGTTTTAGTAGTCACCCAGATACATATCTAACTGTAATAACTGTTAATAACTTCCATCTCTCACATGTAGCCTGGGCAAAGTCGCCTGGAGTCAATTTACAAGCACAGAGCATTTCTGGGACAGAAACTAGAACCTATCTTGAATTCCTCAGAGACATGGGAGAAAATCAAGCCTGTCTTGCTAGCAAAAGACAAACTGCAACTGCCCTCACGGGGCACCTTGATTTTAACAAGATCCCCATCACCTAGAAAGCAGCAGCACGTACGAAAATGACAAAATGTCTTACCTACATTAACCCACAAGCAGACTTTGATGGTATTAAGGCTAAAAACACTGTATATAATAATACATAATAGACAGTAATAGAGTCTATAATAGTGCTCCAGGATTTTCTTAGATACTGTAATTCTAATAAGCTATATATGTAGTTGAGAAGGGTATGGTTTAATTTTTAAATAACTCCAATTGTTTCAGGATGAATTTTGTTGGTCTCATTTTATTTAGTTTTGACCAAAAATTAGCAATGGCGATTCAACAAGATGAGCTGCCAAATATGTGATGGTCTTCCTACTTACACATTTTACAACGGAACCTGATTTATGGGATTATTCTGGGATGCCACTTCACAGCATAAACAAGCTGCAGAACAACGAAAAAATCTGTATTGTCTTAGGAACTGCAGTTATGAAGACTATAAAGTAACTGCTGACAGTTAATAAACCTGTGCTCACATATGACAGGAAAATATCTGAACTTTCAAAGAATTTATACCTGACATATTTCATGCCTGAGAGTACATTTTATAATCCAGTAAAGATATTTAATTAAAAAGAAAATCTTGGCCCTTTTACAAAGTAGTATGTGAGGATCTAAGGATTCTTTACGTTATTCTGCTTTCTTTTATTCTTCTGCTGTCTCTTAACTAGTTTGTTTTCTAATGAAATCAAGATGGTAAAAGATAATTATATGCATGGGAAACAGTATTAACAATATACATCAACAAAACTACTCTCCTGTCCACAATAATACTTTGCCAGATATAGCAAGATAAATAACTGGAACACTTTATTTCACTATAGAGTAAGTTAACTACCTGGCAATGAAAAGCACCTTGAAATGAAAGACATATGTGCACATACGCAATTATGACCTTCTGCTATGCTGTTTGAAGCTAGTAATTCAATATTCTCTAGTTACAGTGTGTGACACTTTTTTCTTCTGCTGCAATGACTAACAGCTCTCTCTTGAAATTCATTTATCTAGAACACAGGTAACAGAATCGAAGGGTACGGTTACTCCAGAGACATGGTAAACATCAAGATATTCTTCTCATAGGGACACTATAAACCAAGAATTTTCTCAAATGCGACTACTTCCATTTGCTATGTCTGCTTCCTGATAAATGGCTATGAAATAGTTCAATACTAATGCACATCAGTAAGTTATTTCATGAAAGTCACACAAATAGCTAAGTTAGGAGCTAAAAAACACACTATTGCATTTTTTTTTTGCTTCTCACAAACATAAAGCTGCTTATAAATAAATAAATAAAACACAATACCATATAATAAATCTTTTAAATGCTGCAAATGATGCCTTTCAAACAAATCCATTTACAAATCAAGACATTTTCTTCCTTGTACTATCTTCTCTTCAGAACAAAACAACAACAGAAAGTTATCGTGATTTGCAAGTCTGGAAAACGTGTCAGGTGGTTCATTTATTTATCTTTAATATTTGGTCTTGTGATGAACAAGGGGAAGATGCTAGGGAGTGCTGCGCTATAGTTCTCCCTTAGCAGGTCACTCTGGCTGCCAGGCCTACTGGGATCTACCACTACTGTGACCTAAAGGTGCAATTTTCTGGGTGAAATTTCTACATCCTGCAACATGACAAAAAAAAAATCCCCAAGCCTGCAAGTACCAAAGCAAGCTGACCAACTCTACATCCAGACTGAGCATACAGTCTCTCTGTATATTTTAAGGTGGCAATGGGTTGCAGTTGTCACTGATGTGCAACAGCCTCAGTAGTCAAAGCTGCAGGCATCACTGAACAACTCAGTTGGCAGAGAAAGATTAGTTTAGTAAGCTGTGATAAAATACAGCTGTGTTATTTCAGCGCATTCTAAAATTTGGAAAATTGAATGAACATTCTTACTTTAAAAAAAATGCTGCATTTTTTTTTGTCAGTCCTAGGAGTGATGTGAGAATAGATATGAGAATACCTCCACGGGTCTTGAACTGACTGGCATTTTCATGTTCGTATTTACACATCAGCTTCTGGATGGATTTTGGCATGTTCTCAGAATCATTTTCATTCAGTATACATAGGCCAGCTGCTAGGCAAAGCCATTTGTATTGCAAAGCCTGAATGAAGAGCTGAAGTTAATCGGGTATTCACCCTAAGTTCTGCTTATAGTTGATAGACAAATGATAAAAACAGTTGATAGGAAATGATCAAAAAGGGAAGTTCAAAAGGAGGAGCTCATAAAGGGTGTTGCAAGCGCTGCAAATAAGCCAGCTCACATCAGTTACCTAAGTGTCATTCTAGGATAACAATGCCGATTTCCACAGAATTCATCCAGATTTGCCGTGATGAAATGGGTCATCTATCGGCCAAACCTCCCAGCGCTACAGAGACAGTCATGTAACTCCAAGCTCTCCAGAGCTTCTCAGCTGCACTTTATAGACAGAGAGCTCAGCTTTCCATAAGCAACAAAATTTTTCGTATTCCTTCAGTGGACTCACCAAGAACATCAGGAAGAGACAGAAATAAATAAATAAACAGATAAAAAGAAAGAAAGAAAAAAGCAAAGCCACAGCTGACCATTATCAATAAAAATGTCCTCTACATGAGTCAGTCTGTAAACTGTCTTTTCCCAAGAAAAGGTTACAAATACCACTGAAGTCCAATTTAAAAACATAATTTAACTAATAAGAAGGAATTTTACAATAAGGTCAGGCCACAGCCTGTCTTCTACCAAGTCTCAGTCATTGTACAAATGCAAAACTAGGTATCAGTTTCCAATGTAGTGAACAGTTCAATGGCTGTTAACACACTGTGCCATTAAGTCCACTTTTAATTTTTGTCAACCAACTTTCAAGGTAATCCAACTGACAACTGTTGAAGGGCATTTTTGTCACAGTGGTATAGTTTTTCAATAGCTTGTTTATCTTGACAGTGCAGTTAAAAGACTACTAGGTGTTTGTAAATATTTAAGCAAGGAAAGCATTCCAGAGCAAAACACAAAAACTTAAAAGAAGTATGTCAAACCCTTTAAGCCTCATGACTCTTTCCTCCTTTTAATATTTGATGCATGCTGGGAGGCTGCCAGCATCTGAGCAAGGAAGCCTTTGACCATTTCACTAGGGTAGGAAAACTTACTGTTTCCTCCCTTCAGCTAATATAGATTCAAGCTAGCAAGTCAGCTGAACTAACTCAGAATAAAACTGTTGACAGTGAGAGGAGGACCATCTGATAGTTTGCGTTAAATACCTAAATAATCTTAAGAGACCATTTTTGCCTTTAAAAGCAGATGTACTTTTTATATTTATTGCCTGAATAATTTCCATGTATTAAAAAGACTGGAGAAAGGAAAAAGGGTTGAAAATATTTCTGAGAAGCTAATAAGCTATTTTATTCATGTCCCATAGTGACAGCCAGATGTTAAGTTTATCCTTAACCTGCTCTGTTGACCCATCACCCAGGTTTAATGCCTCCTCTGCTAACAGAGAACAGCAGCATCACTTGCAACCCAGCTGCAGAGTATTTTAAATACCTCTTTTCGTTCACTGTGCTTGGGGCATGAAGCAGGGCCCCACTCCGTGCTCTTTGGAAAATGACTTTCTTTTCTTCTTTGAGACTCAGGAGGGCCATCACCAATTACCTCCATCTCATCCATTTGATTCTCCTCTTCCTCACAAACACAGCAACCAGCTTCCTTCAGTTGAAACCCTTGGATCAACAGCTGACAGGCCTCCAAATCAGCTTCCCACACTCTCTGGAGCAGCTGGCTCCCACAGCTGAAATAAAAGCCAAAAGAAAAGAAAGCAGCAGTTCAAGGAGAATAGTTGCTATTTCAAGTAACTTTTTTGAGTGATTGCTTGTGATTAGCTAGGAAAATGAAAACAACAAAAATACATGAGCAGCTCAAATATTTTCACAAAGATAATATGAGCTATTTCAAACTGACGACTAGCAAAATGATGTCACTATTACAAAGAGGGTGTCATTAGGAAAATCCTTTTTGGTAAGATGCTGTTTGCAACTGTACCCCCATACACTGACTACATATGATCTTCTCCCTCTTTGGCTGAAGTCAAGGAGTTTTGGAAGCAAAACTGGAACTTTCCTATTCCTATCACATATATTCGTCTGTCACCTCAAAGCAGCTTTCCTGAATTTCTTGTACAAGACAGTGTATCAGCAAACAAATTGCTGCATTAAATCACTACTAGTTTGCAAAAATATATACAGTACAACTTCTAGATTGCTTGCTGGACTGAAATGTCTGTTCTTCAATGCTATTGAACGTTATGAATGCTATTACACTAGCAGTCTTCTTCCTTTCCTTTAGTCTTTTACTGTTTATATTTATTCTGAATATTCTTCTTATCTCTGTGAAGTGTTCTGTTCTTCCTACCTGGTTATCTCACTGAGGAAAGCCCAGAAGATTTAGGAAATTCAAAACACAAACTGCTTAGCACTTTTAAACTACTGATCCTCTGTCAGAGATGTCTAAGTGTGTAAAAAATATTAGTCCTGAAAACCATCCACATATATATTTTCAGCTGAATTCTAGCCAACAGACAGTTTTTCAGAACAAGACTTTGAATACTAACATCATACAGCTTTTAAGGGATACAGTCACATCTCCATTTAATGCACACTGTCTCTAAGGAACCAAAAGGTTAAGTTCTCTGCTAAGATACAACAGGTCAGGGGCAGAGCCTGGAGTAACACTCAGAAGTGTTGATTCCCATGGCAATACCAACTTCTAGACAGATTTTTAATACTAATATTTAGTAACTGCAGTATTTTTTCCCTCTTTTCATACTTGCTACATAATAGTAGGCAATTATAAGTGACTAAAAGAAGGAAAGTAACTATTTGATTTTAACTTTCCTGACTAAATTAAATACTAGCCTATCTTTATTCTGAACACAGGATAAGGGAGATGCATTGGTCACAATAAATCATTAATCTAATAAAGGTACCTTTTTACTCTATGACACAGGATGCTAAGCTATAAAATTCACATAGCAATATTTTGAGATTGAGAGCAAAATTGAGCTCCAGAAGCTGGGCTACTTGATCCGAGTCAGCACCACTGCTTATTGTAATACAGCACAGCATGAGGTCCACAAATTGGACTTCCCCAAAGAATTCAGAGTATCACTAATTAGAAAGGGGAAAAAAACTTCACTTGATTAAAATTCTACGTTCCAGCTAGGCAGCACTTATCAAGCCATAAAAATTAAAAAACCCCCACTGTTCCTGTACTTGTCAGTCACAGCATCATGGTTATACAGCAAAAACACTTCCCTGCAGATATATAATATGCCCATTCACTTGCCTTTTGCAGAAGTTTGCTCAGAGAGCATGCTATAGACCTAACAGATAATTCCTAGTGGATAACCTGTTTTGGCTGCTCAGTTTAATGAAGAGCTCTATTGACAAAACTAGGACAGAATGATATATGTAGTATTTGCAGTGCAGAAGATGAATAGCATATATAAAAGCATACAGTAGTGCTGCCTGGGCTGCATTTATTTAGCCATTACTCAACTCTTTGGTCAACATGCTTTTGACTCTGTGCATGTTTTACAACCATTTTAGTAATCAGCAATAAAAGAAGGTGCCTCTGAAAGCTCTCTTTAATTTTAAGTGCATCTTCCTTTTATCACTCTACCAGTAAAACTCTAACACATCTTGAGCTAAGATACTAAGTATGCATGTTAACATACACTGTGCTACTGAACCTTTCGAGTGAAATCAGTAAATGTACATATATCTGGATATTCTGGGCCTACCCAAGCCCAAGTACTCTGTGGATTTTGGCTTCTGTTTTAAAATTCCTGAGTGCACAGAAACATTGTTGAAATACACTTTTAAAATGAAAATAATTCTAAGGCTAAAAATAACTGACACAGAAACACATACAACTGACATACACAACACAATATATAACTAAGTATTAAATTATAGAATTATAGAATGCTTAAGGTTGGAAGGGACCTCTAGAGGTCATCTAGTCCAATCCCCCTGCACATGCAGGGTTGCCTAGAGCACGTGGCACAGGACTGCGTGCAAGCGGGTTTGGTTCCAGAGAAGGAGACTCCACAACCTCTCTGGGCAGCCTGTTCCAGGGCTCTGTCACCCTCATTGTTAAGAAATTTTTCCTTAAGTTCATGTGGAAGTTTTGGTGCTTCAGTTTGTGGCTATTACCTCTAGTTCTATCAGCGGCCACCAGTGAAAAGAGGGCAGCACCATCCTCCTCACTGCCTCGCTTGAGGTACTTATAGACACCGATCAGATCCCCTCTCAGGCTGCTCTTCTCCAGGCTGAACAGGCCCAGCTCCCTCAGCCTCTCCTCATAGGGCAGATGTTCCAGGCCCCTGATCATCCTTGTAGCCCTGCGCTGGACTCTCTCCAGCAGCTCCACATCCCTCTTGTACTGTGGAGCCAAGAACTGGACACA